TAGTCTTCCTATTAATAATTAAAAAATCTCATTTGAGAATTGAAGCTAAGAAAAGTAAAACAAATCGAATTTCATTCTAAGAATACAATACAATGATTTACATTGTTTTAAACATGTATTAGCTTTTACTCCAATTAACTACCTTTAACCCTTGAAAACTATTGTTTTATATTGTAATAAAACCTTCGATTTACTTTGATAAATACTTGCAATGATGCTTTAATTTTCATTTCATTCTTTTCTTTTTTTTAAGTATAAATTAAACGTTATCACTTGTATTAAAGATTTACTTGTAGCACATAAAAAAAATCTTGAACCTCTGTTGATTTTTTTTTTATTAGCTGAACATGTCAAAGTAGAAAAAACATCAAAAAAAAAAGTTGGGTTTTTTTTATCCGTAAGAGATATAAAGCTAAAAAATGAATACAAGTTTTCTTATATTTTTGTATCCCAATCGAAAGTAAAATGTTACAATGTCATAAAGGAAGAATAATTTCAAAATCCATTTTTGTTTCCTTTAGAAGAGTTACTTTTTATTGATGAATCTTCTGAATTTTTGTAGCTCAGTGAAAACAACAATTGCATCAGGATTTTAATTAAAAGTATATTTTTATCGATCACTGATAATAATAATAATAATAATAAATAGCTAATAGAATTTATTTTATTATAAGCAGTCTGCATTCAAACTTTGTACCTCTAAGTATTATTCAACTTGAACAAAATTTGTTCTTAATGTATTTCAATAGCAAATGCTAAGTGCTAAGTTGAACATGAAAATCAAATGGCTTAGTTAATCTGTACTTTTTAGAACATTTGAAATGATTATTTTTTCTTGTTAACAACTGCAAAACTGTTCATTAAAATTTAAAATTCAATAAGTAAAATTATTTATCGTATTAACAGCCTTCACTTTATGAAAGCTTTTACTGTGGTCTATTCAATTACATCTTGTCTCATGAAATATATGGAGATAACGAACAACATTCAAGCTCAAAAGTCCATAAAACAATACAAAATAGGAGCAGAGCAAACGGAACTCTAAAACACCAGAGGTGGGACAGTGCCATGGAGGAGTAAGCAAACCCTGCCGACCGGTCACACCCGCCATGCGCTCCTTGTCATGATCGGTAAAAAATGAAAAAAAAATCCGTCAATTCGGTGCGTATATGAGTATGAAAAACATCAGTCAGTATTTGACTCAATGATAAATTGTATTTGCTGACAATGCCATTGCATCGACCATAGAAGTTACGAAATGATGACTTTAAACGAGACGGCTGATATTCTTGTTTCATCAACTTGACACGTTTGTCAATAATTACCTCGTAGTAGAAATTGTACATACGTAGAGTCTTCTCTTGCGTGTCGAATCAACTGAGAGATAGAAACCCCGTATGCAGGTGACGGAGGTATATTGCTGCATAAGTAAGGAAGTTGAAGATTAAAAGTTAAATCACTTTTATCATAGAGCTTTGTGGCAACGCACTTTGAAAAAATTACGCACTGAGAAAAATTTTTTCAAAGTGCTTAAAAATTGGGACAAAATCAATGCACTTTGAAAAAAAAATTTCAAAGTGCGTAAAGAGTGCACATAACATTTTTAACCATGGGGACACTTAACTCACTTTGAAAAAAAAATATGCATAAAACAAATTCTAGACTTATGGATTTTAGTTATTGAGAGAATCAACTTGTAATAATTATATCTTCGAAAAACTTGTTAATTCACATGTACTCATTTAACCTCAATGAGAAGAGGAAGACGAGTAGAGGTCTCTCAGCCAAACTCGTTTTTCTTATACATTGTACACAGCCGTCAGTAGCAAATTGAAAGTGGATCCCCCCAATTTTCAATGCCTAAATCATGTATATCTTTGTAACATATTTATGTGACTACACCCCCCCCGGTATAGATGTCTATGCAACACCCAAATATATATGTATTTGCATAACTGGTATGACGTTAAAAACTTTCAATAAATTTAAGTTTACATAGAATGCATGCAAACTGGAAAAAATTAAGTACAGTAAAACATTTAAGAGAAAAAGAATTTTCAAAGTATGGAAAAATCAAAATCACTCACTTTTACACCCTGAAGTGAATTCATCACCGAAGAGTTATCAAACAGGTTCAATTATTTATCATACCCAAGATTTACAAGAATATTGACTAAACTATATACATTTTTTCAAAGTGCGTTAATATGGTCGACATTAATGCACTTTGAAATGAAATTTTATCTTTTCAAAGTGCGATGATTTGGTCCGAAATTTAACACACTTTGAAAAAAAAAATTTCAAAGTGCGTTGTAACAGAGCTTGGTTGTTAGATTACCATTAACGTCTTTTTCTCATTTAATATAAATCAGGCCATTTTGTATAGAAATTGCTTGCTGGTGAACTTGGGGCAAAAGAGCCATAACAATAAAATCACTCTAAAGTTTTCAGTTCTTCTTCAGCGTCGATGCTTTTGCTGAACATACGCAACAATTTTTTCTTCATCAAACCTTGACCATACGAGTAGTCGATGCACCTTTTGGAAGGTGATTGGCGGTGTTCTGTACCTGCATGTGCAATAAAATTTCGAAATTTTCATTTCCCACTGAGCCATTTGGGGTTGAAAACCTAGTGAACAAATCATCTTTGGAATATGAGTTAAGATTTAATACCGGTATTAAGTTTTGGAATTTTATTTTCATACAAGGGATCAAGAAGGTCGAAAAAGTCATTTTTCTACCAAACCCTGGTTTCCAGAACTCTTCTTTCATGTCACACAGTAACCAGTTGTTCTTTTGGAAGTTTTCCGGTGTCATGTAAATGTGAAATACAGCTTTTTCTGAATAATCTTTTCTCTCACTAAATGGGGATTAAATGGAGTCGAGAATTGACTTTTTCATGGAAAAAAAAACAAGTTCCAAGAACTCCTCTCAAATTAACCAAACAATCTTTTGAACGATAGTGGTCTGTCCTGAAGATGTGCAATAAGGTTTCAGAATGTACATTTTCACACTGGAGGTTAAATGGGGATCGAAAGATGATGTTTTTCTACAAAACAATCCTGGTTTCCAGAACTGTGCATGCTCTTACAATGTAAACAACAATGAGCAAAAAATCTTTTGAAAGGTGTTTTGCGGTCTACTATGGATGCCCAATATAGTTTCAGTTTTCTTAACCTGTGCTATAAAAGGGTAGAAAAAGACATCGGATAGAAAATCGAAATATTCTTACATCCGAAAATTGAGTTATGCTGTTATCCTAGTCCGTCTGTCACGCTTTCTTTTCCTGCAACTTCTCGAACTTTTCTTACAATATACCTACCTACCTAGTCCTTGTTGCACCCGGAGGCACATGGGGCATGGACTAGGGATTTCTATTCTTTGTTCTTTGCTATTTTCTCCACCTCTCCCCAGGTAAGACAATCTTACAATATAAAAAGTAACCAAATCAAATCATCTTTTGGAATATCGTATTTTGTGTCTTGTGCATGTGCAATAAGGTTTCGCAATTTTCATTTTTAACTTGGAGGTCAGATGCGTGTCGAAAAGAGTTGTTTTTTTTTTAATTTGTTTCACAGAAACATGATTCTCAAAAGTCCATAAACATTTAATCCAGTAGTAAATAGTAGTAAAATTATCACTGATTGTTCTGAAACAAGTTTGAAAACTTTAAATTCAAATTTTGAGGAAACAATGCCATTTCGATATCATTATTACATTAGAGGTAAACGATTACGTACGGGTATTACGGTTTTTAGACAGCATCTTGTTTATTTTGCAAGATCAATAGGTATTTTAATCCTTATCAATTACCTCACGTTAAAAATTGATTGTAATCGGATTAAGCTCTTGAGTATCGAATAATTGAAGAAAAATAATTAGAGCAGAATATTGCTTTAAACATATAAGGAAAATTAACGGTGGAAAAGCTGAAGTCATCTCGTTTGTCATACAATTTAATTGTTAGTTGGCCTTAATCGTCCGAAAAAACAACACTTCCAGATGAGGCAGATTCTGGAATACATCTAGTCGACATATGAATGGGAATAAGTATTGCAAAAACGCTGTCAAAATATCTGATTGTCAAGTCAAAAAGCTCTTTTCTTGTGATTTTTTTTTTTTAAATAAATTCTGCTCATAAGATAATAAAAACCAATCGGCTTATCCAGGAGGACACCTGTACCTATCGGATTTCCAAATGATTGTTTAAAAAATTTCTCCTAATGCTACAAAAATGTCATCATTAAGGAACACTGGCATCCTTTTAATATCAACCTCGGAATGCTTAATTCTGATGATGACCAAAGACAAAGTCTGAAAATTGTTGAGAACCATTTTCATTGAAGAAGCAGTTGTCTAGTTTTCATTAATCAGGGGAATTTTCGCATGAAGTGTAGAAAATTCGTACTTTTTAATATAATTGATTTGGAAGAAGTTAGTGACTTTTTCCATAATTCTTTGAAGTTTTTGAGAAACCACATCAGATTTACACAATACTGAGACTTCTAGAATACTTATGCTGAAGCACAGTAGTCGTTTTTCTATCCAGCACTTAATATATTTGTAAGAAGTAAAGACAGGGGCTTGGTAGCACACTTTTTTTTGGATACTGTAGTGTACCTGTATCTTTATTTTAAAAGATTTTTATGAAGTTAAAAAAAAATAGGTAGGGAAAATTGAACTCATCTTGGTTGGATGGAATGTAAAAAGTATTAAAAACAGAAATGGCCATTGGGATTTTGGAGATTCTCATCCTTTAGAAAGTTAACTGTGAGTGCATTAGGATTTCCAGACGTAGCCAATTTCTTCCAAAATACACTCCACACAAACAAGATCATATGGCCATAAACCTCATCTGTTGGAACCATAATATATTGTTCAAGCAGTTTCTCTTTCTTTCTTCACCTCTGTTTTAGTGAAAACAGGAGGAAAAAGTGAAAAACTCTTTTAAAATTTATAACTTTATTGAATTCTATTCATGAAATATACTCATGTTCACAAATGTACATTAAACTTTAGCTTGCTGTCTTTGTTAATGATTTCAATTATAAAAATCTTTTAGCCTTTTAGCTTGTATCTACATGTGTATATTCTTACAAATTATATTTCAAAGAATGAAACCAGAGAATGTTGTTGTGGGGATAGTAGCTGAGTAGTAACCTGTACCACTGTAATGGCTGGCCCAAACTTTATCACCTCTCTGAAGGCGCAAAACAACAAGGTTTACCCCCGTTTGATACCGTGCGTTTGAGTCTCCAATGGCTCGAACTTTTGAAATCCCATTCAAAACAATGTCTACTGCAGTATATTGGTTACTGTACTCCAGAACTGTCAGGAAGAAGACGTAATTTCCATCGAGGGTTGCGGTGAACACACCTGAGCTTGAATTATATCCGAGACCAATGTTCGTTATCACGGCGGGAAATACCAATGTTCCGCTGTTCCAGCCTGTGTTGGAGGATGTTACCACGGCGGTGAATCCCACTTTTTTTGATGAGGGATCTGGTGAATAAAATGATTGAAGTTAGTATAATATAAAAGAAGGTAACCGTATTGACTGCTTTGTAAAATTTAATGATTTTCAAATTTATGCATTTGAAGAAGAATGTAAATGAAATACTTTTTTTCTTACTTAATACTTAAAGAATAGTCTAAATTAACAGGTCTGGACGATTTCTAAATAAGGAAGTCAAGAACGATAACTGAAAGTTGCTATAAATGTACATCTAGTACATGTAATTATTTTTCTGTCCAATCAGACAACAGCATTTTTACACACCCCAAAACATGTTTTAAAAGAACAAAAAGATAACACGTGCTTTTGTTTTTTTTCCTCAAAAAGATTTTTTAACAAAAAATCTGTAGAAGTAAGATGAAAACTTTTGAAGAATAAGGTATTCCCCACATATTTACCGTGAACAACCTTGACATTTTTATCTCGGTAAAGAAAAAAATAATGCATGATAGAATGTAATCGTTTACGGAGGTATAGATCGCACCAGTTAGCTCTTATCAAGTTCAATTTTAACATTTACCAGAATAACTAATATGTTGGTAAATATAATTTTGCTTAGCCGTCCGATTTTCATCGATAATGCTTAAATTCCATGGGTGTAGATCAACTCACAAAAGTGTTTATCGTATGGACTATACACATATAGTTTTAAATTATCACGGGTTTCATGAGCGCCGAATACTAAGCTATGCAGACTTTAAATGGGCATAAGGAAAGGCGTACCGGTATAACGTGGAGAAAAAAGAGTACTGTAATTATACATGAATGCGTTTTATCCCAATATCTTACCTCGCATATCAGAAACTGCATTGAATATTTTGTAATAAACACTCAAAAAATAATAAAGACTGATATCTTTTCTATAAGATTTTTATGTCAGGCTCTAAAAACTGAAAAATTGCCGTATTTATATCAAATTTTCAACGTAAGTTAAATTTTTGGGATTGCTATCTCCTATCTAGAGACAGATTTTTTTTATCCCACTTAAAACGTATTCTAAGCTTAAAAGTCGTGTTTGTTCACGGTAGAATTGCGATAAATATTATATTATTCTCAAATGCACATAAAGTTTTAAAAAAGTTTGTTCTAAAAAAATCTTTTGAGCAAAAAGCTTAAAAAGCACGTGTTTTATTTATTTTCTCATGGAGTTGGGTAAATGCTGTTATCTGATTGGTCAGAAGGATAAGTGCCTTGTTTATCCTGTGTATTAATAGCAATTCACGGTTATCGTTCTTGACTTCCTTATTTAGAAATCGTCCAGACCTGGTTAAACATAGAAATATCTTAGGTAAGACGGTTTTTACAGAAATTCGCACTATTCTAAGGACTGCGTTTAACCGGTAAAACAATAGTCTGTACTACTATGAAAGGAGCAAAGGTAATTGATTAATATGATAAGTTATTTTCACAGTTAATTAATTTTTATTTAGAAAAAATAAGCATTTATTATAGTACTCTCGATTGTTCCGGAAATATTTTTTTTTTAAAAATTCAAATCTACAAGTAGACGAGGATGCTTTTATATAATGTAAATACGATAAAATAAGAAAAATTTTAAGGTGTGAGTACCGCAATTTCTATTCGTCATATTCATTCGGAACATCTCTAGAGTTTTCACAGTAGAAGATAACTTCAGTTGCTCCAGTCGATATTGGTTCCGCTCTTCTTTCAGAGAGTTGATTGTGGTGTTGATTTCATCTATAGGTAAAATTTGAAACGTTTTAAAACTTCACAATACAGTATTAACATCTCTGAGTTGTGAAAGTAAAATTAACTTAAGATTATAAAATTCAGATTGACATCGCTGCCATCAATAAAATAAATAATATTTTTGAAGTTTAAAAAAAATCTGTTTGTCCAATTTTTTTTAAACATTAAAAGATCAATCCTTGCATAAAGTCAAATTGATTTGGGTTTAAAAAAAAAATAAAAATGCAATATATACTAAAGCACGAATCTTTCCCGATGTGTCTAGAGTTTAACATTGTTGTCGTGCATGGTTTTGGAAACAAAAAACGTCAATCTTTGAAAATTTTAATATTGCATAATGATGAAATGAAACTAACTTCCTTTGCTTTAAACTCAAATATTTAACGGTGCTAACAGTTGGCTTAAATTCGGGGTAACATATATGTTATGATTGGTTTCATCAACTGTCGAGTGATTCATGACACTCTAGAATTTAGTAATATTTTTAAAAATGGGTAAGAAAAGTTAACGAAGAGTGATCGATCTTCAAAAAAATCTTAAAACAATACAAATATGTAAAGAGGGCATAAAACATGGATCTCTGGAAATTCCAGAGGTGGGATCACATGCATAGGAGGAGTAAATTCAAAATTTACGACATGATACATGTCCAAATCTTACCAGAAATTTTTGCTACGACATCAACCTGTGACTCTCCAAGTTTGGAAACAACTTCTGAAAGTCTGTTTTCTGTGGCCTTCAATTTTTCATTGAAATTCTCAAATGAACTATTCATGGAATTATAAATCGCCTTATTCTTTTCGGCAATAGAAGCAGATATGTTATTGTCGGCTGTTTCTGTGTGTGTTTTTAAATCCAGCAAAGTGATCGACAAATAACGAACCTCAATCTTAATGTCTGCCAAAACATCTGAAACATTTTTCTCATGCATTTGCAGACTAGCCTCGGCAATTCTTTTATATTCTTTGTGATTTTTCGAAATCATTGTGATATTTTCGCCTACAGTTTTGAGATGTTTCTTTTGTTCACGACTTTCATTTTTTAGCAGATTGTTCTCAACTTTCAACAACTCCAACTCCTTTTTCAGTTCTGATATTTCGTTTCCAAAGGATTCCTGCATTGTCGAAATCTTGCTTTCAGCTTTAGCGAGGGCGTCCTGGAGAGTCAACATGTCTTTCATCAGAGCGTGTACATTTTTAACCAAGCTCATTCTAATTAAAGTTTCCTGGTTCAGAAGTTGTCTGAAAACATCAGTGTTCTTGGTTTCCATCTTACTAACTTCTAGTTCTGTAGAATTGAACTCATCTGTGAGGAGTGAGAAAATGGCAGAGTTTACCAGGGTGGCGAACACCAGTATAAAGAAAGCAATGGTATTCATGGCAGCGCGTCAATGTATGGATGTAATTTTAAAATGATACATAAGTATCATAGGTGGTATTTATACCACTATGGGTAAGAATGGGCTTCAACTCCTCAAGTTTCTAAATTTTTTGAATATATTGCAACAAGGGGTGGTTTCCTTCAAATACTTTGTCTATTATATTTTTTCCTAATCAGTTTGCCAGAAATAGACGCATGTCGAAATATTTTCTTCCGTTTTTCGATTAATAATAGCATTTTAAGTGCTTTAAGAAGGTCTTCTCGATGATAGCAATTAATCAAGCAAGGAAAAAATATTGTCGTTCTTGTCAAGACTTGAATTCCAAGTATACTTTGTGTTTTAGCACTTGGTTAAATATTTGAAACGGAAATTTCACTATAAAACTTTATTATGTTTTCAAAAGCCTTTTTTGTGAATATTCAATCTCATCATTGTTAACCAGAATGTTAAGATCACCCCATTGTTGACAATTGTTACCTTGTGAGAATTATTTGAGAATCACGGTGTAGCAGCATGCAAAGAAAGATAACTCTATGATTTTCTGATAATCATTTTAACAGACCGTTCCGGGATCAAAAATTCATCTTTTACATGATGTCGGGGAGGAAAATTAACAAAAAGAATACCTGTGACACATATTAATTATCGATCCTAGATTTATGTGGCTAGGACATATCCTTTATAGGATAGCAGGATCGATAAATCCCAAAGCCGCCTACTATGAGCAACGGTCCACCCGGAAAAAG